ACGCTAAAATATGAGACATAACCCCGTTGGAATCCCAGAAATAAACAATTAAAAAACAATTGTGCACATTTCACTAATAAATATGTTAAACATTTTTTATTTAGATTTTAAAATTGTTTTTTCAAAATAAATAAAGACAGATGAAAGCAGTAATCAAAAAACATGAACAGGGTGACGGATTTCCTGAAGCCTACAAAAACAAAATCAAATGTACTGGGTGGCTCATGTTGTGATCCTATGGTTTCTATCACTGAGACTTACGAGAAAATCTGACCTCAACCTGGCTTTAATGAAAGTATTTGGTTTCAAGCGAAACCCCCAGAATGCTATTTTAGTTAATGTAGTCATATATATTGATTTCCTAAGCATTTGTGCAGGTGCAAAAATAGCCAATAGGTTTAACTATGCATCTCGTAAATAGTCTGAAAAGTTACATTTACAGGATATTGGACCTTTACAGGATATTGGACCCGGCCGAAAGTGCTGGCTTTGTGGCTTGTCAGGGCAAAAGGGTTACAGTTTCAGTACTGGCCTTGCCATTTTTGCCCGTTGCTCAACTTTAAAAGTGGAACAACTCTGTAGCACAGTTCCCACACAAATGATAGTGGGCCAGAACACCAGCCCTTGTCAGAGCTTATATCACCTGAACTTGGGTGCATTAGACTGAACAGATTAAATTTTATCTCCCAGATCTCCCAGATCTCCCAGAAGATTCATAAGCAATGGAAATCAACAAACTATCAAGCAAATAACCAACCAACAAATAAACAATCCACCCTCCACCAAACCATTAAACCGATCAACTAACCAACTAACCAAACATTAACCAGCCAGCCAACCATGCTGAAACTAGAGTGTTTAAAAATATTAATCATCATGCATGCCATTGTGGATGGCAGACGTTGCTAAAATATCCTATGGCATGGTGTGGTCTGTCACTGTGTGGTCTGTCACTGTGTGGTCTGTCACTGTGTGGTCTGTCACTGTGTGGTCTGTCACTGTGTGATCTGCCACGGTGTGGGCTGCCACGGTGTGGTCTGTCACTGTGTGGTCTGTCACTGTGTGGTCTGTCACTGTGTGGTCTGTCACTGTGTGGTCTGCCAGGGTGTGGGCTGCTACGGTGTGGTCTGCCACGGTGTGGTCTGTCACTTTGTGGTCTGTCACTGTGTGGTCTGCTGTCATGGTGTGGTCTGTCACTGTGTGGTCTGCCAGGGTGTGGGCTGCTACGGTGTGGTCTGCCACGGTGTGGTATGTCACGGTGTGGTCTGTCACTGTGAGGTCTGCTGTCACGGTGTAGTCTGTCACGGTGTGGTCTGCCACGGTGTGGGCTGTCACGGTGTGGTCTGCCACGGTGTGGTATGTCACGGTGTGATCTGCCACGGTGGGCAGCAGCTGTTGTACATGTACATACACATACTAAAAAACTATCATGCAGTGCAGTTTAAAACGACTCAATGACAAGAACTCAAAGCAAAATTCCCATGGTTTATTTAAAAGTCCACTTTAACAATGCAAACAATAGTATTGCCAACTAAACTAATTATCAACAAGTGTCTAAGATATTATTTCATTACTCATTAAAAAAACTGCACTAAGGGCAAACTGATAGGTACTCAGTGTTCTCCAGCAGATGTGGAGTTTATGTATGCCAAATAAAATATGATAACTTGTATAAGATATCTAACTAAACCTGCTTTTGTGAGAACAGTGTAGAAAGGTAATAGGGCAAATTTTGCCCCTTTATTTCCTTTCCTGACCAACAGTGGTCATCTTGCACAAACAAAATTAAACAAGTTATTTCCTTCAAAGTCGACGTATATCTGCCACACAGGCAAGCAATTACATACTGACTGCACATAAATAAGCCAGTAAAATAAATTAACATGCAAAACCCAGATCCTGGCACAAAGCACAAGTCCAAAATGGATAAACAACCAGAATTTTCTACCGGAGTTCATAGCCGATAAATACAAACAAGAAACAAGCTAAAGCTTTAGCTAGCAGCGGTAGTGTAGTGGCCACCGACTCACATGCCAGCCTGAAATTACTTGGGTTCAAATCTGCATCCAGTCAATTTTTTTTGTTCCCCGGTGGATCTGGGCTCTCAGGACAACCTAACTAAAATTAGTACCAGAAAATGCCCTGGGAAGAAAAGGTGGCTGGCATATTGGTGGCATCACCCACTGAGTACAGATTAGCCTATAAAATATGGAGCACTAAATACAACATCAAGTGTTACTAGAAGGCTCAACGAAGGGAATGGAAAATATGCACACAAAACACAACCATATTTTGAGACCAACATCTTTATCAGTGGAGTACTCAGTACTTTTATCATCAATAAACTGCTTATTTATGTCATTGCTATAAACATATGGGTCTACTATCATATACCCGATGTGCCACTGGCATAAAAACACTCCCTTTCTGCCTTTTTCTTTTGCCTTGTTTAAAAATCTGGCAAACAGCAGCAAGTAACAACAAGATGTTTCTTCCAAAAGTTTATTCAGCAACTTCACTCCCTGAGAAGCAATCAGCAAAAAGCCCCTCACTGTATAAGGACATTCGTGGCAACACATCTGTCCCTGTTGAAAACATGGGAAACTAATGTTACAACACTCCGTCACCTGGTTAGTTATCCTGAATTATACAGTAACCAACAGACTCAGCTCAGCAACAAATCCTAGCATACACATTTTTGATGCTACTAAAATATTAAAACAAAACTGTCATGAACTAATTTTTTAAGGCATTGTACAATATGAGCGGTTGCGCAGGGGTGGTCTTAATCCTAAGGATCCATGTACTGTGCAGGTTAGGATGTTTATTTTTGCCTCCACTAGGAGAAATGCTCTATCTTCTTAGGATGTTTATTTTTGCCTCCAATAGGAGAACAGCTCCATCACCTACCAAAGATTCCAACCAAGTCTTCTACATGAGACCCTAGCATTCTCAATGTTTGGCCAGCTGTTCCTCTTTGATGCTAATGACATGTGCATATTTTATGTCATCATTAACTAAATTCTAAAGGAAAAAGACTAATGTGCTTGTTATATAAGTAAAGTCTATCAGTGGGACAAACTGTATACATTAAACAAATGGGCCAGTTTAAAGAGAACAAAAGATATAGGGGAAGAGGGGAGAGGAAAACACAGTGACAGTGGGATGGCACGGGACACCCACATACACATGCTGAGCAAGAGGTAGAGAGTGGATTGGCACATTATCAACTACCCTTTTCTACCGATTTTTGTTGTTGTTGTCCTTTTAACATTATTGAACACAAGTTCACCTGAGCATACACAATGCTGACTGCCACTTTCTGATATTTGCGATAAGACTCTGTGTCCTAGACTTACTTAAAAATGTTTAGAGGGCTGCATGGCATCCGCCTTTAGTGCTGGAGGTCCCGGGTTCAAGCCCCGGTGAAGGTGTGGACTTCTAGTAATTTTCCCTGGTCTCTGGGTAGTAAGATAAGATGCCTGTGTGTATTGTTGTGCACTTAAAAAATCCCTTGGCAGTTAAAAATCCAAAAACAGTAGCCTAACGGCTGCACAGGCACAAAAAATTTAGTTAAAAATTGATTGGCACCTTTCCGTCTTTCCGGACAATAGTGTTATATGGTGCTATGAGAAGGCATGGGACTCACAGCCCACGGTGATGGCGAGTATGACTAGCATGACCTGCCTGTATCAAGAAAGGTCTTCCATAATGATAGCATGGGATTTCAGGACCATTGATGTCAACATTTGTGTTTAATCCGTTTCTTTTCAGACGCTCAGCTCTCATCCTTTCTGCAATCATTTCTTCCTTCACTCTCATTCCTTTCCTGATATACCCTTTCCAAACAACACATTTGATGGCATTTCGTTTCCATGAGTCCACCTCAATACCTGTATCATTCATGTCCAGCTTGCACACATCTTTAAACCATAGTAGAGGTCGGCCTCGACACCTTCTTCCCGTCTTTAATTCACCATAAAGGCGACTCTGCCATCCTCCATTCTCCAGGCTATTTATTTTGGCGTCAGGTTATTTGCAGCATCCTTCTATGAGGCCAGAGTATTTTGGCACCTTTCTGTCATTCAACATAACAATGCTACAGAAAGGCATGGAAAACACAGCTACGTCCATGGTGAGTGTGATTAGCAAGACCAGGTCACATTGAGAAGACGAATCTTCCATAATTTGTGTATGAGATTTCATGACCAAGTTTGTTGAGTTTTGCATCAATAAAAGACTGTAGTATAATTTTTTAAAGGCTATTGTCTCTGACAGCATGACATTCTTCTTTGTACATCTATGATTTTAGAAGCTATTTAGTAAACTCAATCCGGCTGTTATAGTTATTGTATCATACCTGAGTAAAACTATATTTAATGTGATTTCAGCTTAATGCTGCTACCTTACATGACACACTCTGCCTCAGAACATGTTAGCTGAGTGAGCAATCATTTACAGTAAAGACACATTCCTAAACAATCACATGTCCATAGTCTAGCAGATAATATGCTGTGGACTCAAGAATTCACACATGCGTGCAAACTGAACAATTCAATGAATATGCTAAAGAAAATCTAGGCTGGCTTCTTTAGACAATTTTCTCATGGATTCTTTCATTAAATGCACCAAGAATAACTTTTATTTTCACCTTTTAACCTTTCTCTTTGTGCCGAGCTGTGCAGTTGTTCAAGACAATGAGCATGCAGATTATCTGGCGGTCAAGCCGGTTACCACGACTGACTCTCAGATCCACTGCCCCTTAACAAGCAAGTCATAACAAGATTTGCTGCAACTGGATGTGATGAGCCTAGTTGTAAAGCATAATACTATGTGCCTACTGCCTTTTAAGGGCAAATGAAGCAGAAGAAGATTGTGTCTAAATAGGCCAGATCTGAACAGAGGAGCCAAAAAGCTGACAACTGAAAGTCTACAAATATTTTTTTTATAAAAAAAATTTCAAACAAAAATGTTGCCAAACATGGCCTACTTACCAGCTTCTAACTCTCCTCCGCCACAGCCAGGTCTTCTTCCAGATGAGACTGTGAGTTGACGTGGACGACCATTTCATAGACACCAAAGACAATCATGGTGTTTGGGAGGATGTGAATCAAGTAGACACCGAGTCCCTTGAACAGACCCCGGCAAGACTCCTGCCTGCCAGACAAGTTTACTTAGTGACACTCCTCTGACAGTCCCTGACAACAAGACTCCCGCCAGTCAGTCATGTTGACTTAGTGACACTCCTCTGACAGTCCCTGACAACAAGACTCCCATCTGTCAGACAAGTTTATTTAATGACACTCCTCTGACAGTCCCTAACAACAAGACTCCCGCCTGCCAAACAAGTTTACTTAGTGACGCTCCTCTGACTGTTATCTTCTGTGTCACAGTCTCCCACTTACACAAATATCTTACAGCTCTATGATGTAATTAAGAGTCATGGTTGCGTAGTGGCTAACAGCTAGCTTACTGATCCGATGGTCGTGGCTGACCCTCAGTGCAGGGATGATCACAAAGATGACACAAAAATGGAAGTTTTTTCCACGCCTTCAGGTGTGTTAGGCATATAGGGCTAAATCTATATTTTATAGACCAATCAGCACTTGGCGGGTAATGTAGTCAGCATGACATCAGCCGCCTTTACTTCACAGGACTTTACCTGGTTCCCATTTAAGGCTGGGAGCCAAGGTCTTTTTTGAAAAAAAGTTCAGCACTGCCCGGATTTGAACCCATGACCTTCAGATTTGCAGATGATCATCTAGCCCCTAGACCACACTGGCTCCCCAGCATATAATTAGTACCAGGATTATGAGAAGATTTTAAACTCTGATTTCATCATTTAAAGCCGAGTGGTCTACAACATTCGGGAAATAGCACCAAGACCTAATACGCAGGAGTCACACTTGTCGGTATCAGTCACATTTGAGTACAACTACAACTTGATCGCTCAGTGAAATGGATTAATTCACTGTGAACGGGGCATCCAAATAGTACTGCTATCTACACATACCTAAAACTCACAACACTTGTGCCATAAAACACTTTTATGAAATAAAACAGAGCCCGATCATACAACTCAGCAACTGTAACTCCACTGCGGTATAGGTAGTCATGATCGTTGCTGTTCCTGATGATATTCTTAGCAAATATAATTATATAGAAACAGTCCGTAGTTGCAAACAGTATCAAAACCCCAAAAAATCGACCTTTCAGCAAAGCCTAATGCAACAATACTGAAATAGCCGTTTTGCAGGAATTTACAACGGACGGCAAAGTTGATATATCGGCTTCTAGGGTCGACAGAGATAAACTAATCCAACACAAATGAGCCTTCAGAACATTTGCATAATTTGCCTGAGCTTTTCCATCACCTCTGAGTGACTGAAGACAGAACATTAGGAGAAAACTGACATCTCTGCTTACAACTGACACTGAGAGTGGAATGAGGTAATACTGGGGGGAAAAAAACACAGCAAGGCTCACGCCAACACATCTTACAACATGCACCATAGGTTCCGGTGTTACAATGGGCTTCAGTAAAACTTGGGCTTCAGTGATACGTGGACTGCAGTAGCACATGGGTTTCTGTAACATGTACGCTTAAGTAATGTGTGGGCTTTGGAAACAGGTGGGCTTTAGTAACGTGTGGGCTCCGGAAACAGGTGGGCTTCAGTAACACACGGGCTGCGGTCACAAATGGGTTTAGGTAACGCATGTGGACTATGGTAACACATGGGCTTCAGTGATACGTGGGCTTCAGTAACACATGGGCTTCAGTGATACATGGGTTTCGGTAAAACATGGGTTTTGGTAACACATATGCTTTGGTAACACATGGGCTTAAGTAACATATGAGCTTCGGTAATACATGGGCTTCAGTAACACATAGGCTTCGGTAAAACATGGGCTTCGGTAGGTAACACATGGGCTTCGGTAGGTAACACATGGGCTTCGGTAACATATGGGCTTCAGCAACACATGGGCTTCGGCAACACATGGGCTTCCACAACACATGGGCTTCGGTAAAACATGGGCTTCAGCAACACATGGGCTTCAGTAGCACATGGGCTTTGGTAGCACATGGGCTTTGGTAACACAAGGGCTTCAGCTACACATTGGCTTAGGTAGCACATGGGCTTTGGTTACACATGGGATTCGGTTACACATGGGCTTCGGTTACACATAGGCTTCGGTTACACATGGGCTCAAGTCACACATGGGCTTCGGCAACACATAGGCTTTGGCAACACATAGGCTTTGGCAACACATAGGCTTCGGCAATACATGGGCTTCAGTAACACATGGGCTTCAGTAGCACATAGACTTTGGTAGCACATGGGCTTCGGTAGCACATGGGCTTCGGTAGCACATGAGCATCGGTAGCACATGGGCTTCGGCAACATATGGGCTTTGGCAAACATGGGCCTTGGCAACAAATGGGCTTCAGTAACACATGGACTTCAGTAACACATGGGCTTCGGTAACACATGGGCTTCGGTAAAACATGGGCTTCTGTAAAACATGGGCTTCTGCAACAAATGGGCTTCAGTAAAATATGGGTTTTGGTAATACATGGGCTTAAGTAACATATGGGTTTCGGTAAAACACAGGCTTCAGTAACACATAGGCTTCGGTAACACATGGGCTTCGGTAACAGATTGGCTTCGGTAATACATGGGCTTCAGTAAAACATGGGCTTCGGTAACACATGGGCTTCGGTAACACATGGGCTTCGGTAACACATGGGCTTGAGTAACACATGGGCTCCGGTAAAACATGGGCTCCGGTAAAACATGGGCTTCGGTAACACATGGGCTTCGGTAACATATTGGCTTCAGTAATACATGGGCTTCGGTAATACATGGGCTTCAGTAAAACATGGGCTTCAGTAAATCATGGGCTTCAGTAACACATGGGCTTTGGTAACACATGGGCTTTGGTAACACATGGGCTTCGGTAAAACATGGGCTTCGGTAACTTTGTGTGTTTCTAAGATAGTGTTATATTGTGCGATAGGGAGGCATGAAAATCACAGCCAACAACAATGACAAGTCAGAGTGACAAGACCTGCTTGTGTTAGGAGAAGTCTTCCATGAATCTACCTCAATTCCTGCGTCATTCATGTCCCATTTGCACAAATCGTTAGTCACTGGTTGAGGTTCCACTACATATTGGTCACCCTATAGCTGCAATCCTCTCAATATTGTAACAATATACACTTAGGTAACACACAAATGGTTATTACACAACAAACAAATTTGAACAAGAAACCACTGTGAAATACAAATATCATTTTGCATAAGTGAGATTTAAAAAAAAAAAGGTTGCACTTACACCCAGATCTGCTTGAGTACATCAAGAACACCATTGTAGCTACGATGCTGATCCTGTAACCTTGACCTCAATACCTGATAGGGGTATGTGATTGTTGCGGCAAACATTTTGGACAGAGCGGCAAACGTGAGGTATTCTAGGGAACTCTACAGAGTCAAACAGAATGGAAATATATGTTAAATAAAAGTTTTAAGGGTTTCATCTGAAGCCTCCTCATGGTTAAAATGCAAAACAATAGTTTAGTAAAGTGACTCAATAGACTGCAGGCAACCTTCAACCTTAGTCTGCAGGCAACCTTTAACCTTAGTCTGTGGGCAAATTTTTACCTTCAACCTTAGTCTGCAGGCAACCTTTAACCTTCAACCTTCATCAGCAGGCAACCTTTAATCTTCAGCCTTAGTCTGCAGCCAATCTTCAACCTTAGTCTGCAGGCAACCTTCAACCTTAGTCTGCAGGCAACCTTCAACCTTAGACTGCAAGCAACCTACAGTCCCTTATTAGACTGCAGGCAACACTTCAACCTTAGTCTGCAGACAACCTTCAGTCCCTCATTAGACTGCAGACAACCTTCAGTCCCTCATTAGTCTGCAGGCAACACTTCAACCTTAGTCTGCAGGCAACCTTCAGTCCCTCATTAGACTGCAGGCAACCTTCAGTCCCTCATTAGACTGCAGGCAACCTTCAGTCCCTCATTAGACTGCAGGCAACCTTCAGTCCCTCATGAGACTGCAGGCAACCTTCAGTCCCTCATTAGACTGCAGGCAACCTTCAGTCCCTCATTAGACTGCAGGCAACCTTCAGTCCCTCATAAAACTGCACGCAACCTTCAACCTTAGTCTGCATGCAACCTTCAGTCCCTCATTAGACTGCAGGCAACCTTCAGTCCCTCATGAGACTGCAGGCAACCTTCAGTCCCTCATGAGACTGCAGGCAACCTTCAGTCCCTCATTAGACTGCAGGCAACCTTCAGTCCCTCATGAGACTGCAGGCAACCTTCAGTCCCTCATGAGACTGCAGGCAACCTTTAGTCCCTCATGAGACTGCAGGCAACCTTCAGTCCCACATTAGACTGCAGGCAACCTTCAGTCCCTCATTAGACTGCAGGCAACCTTCAGTCCCTCATGAGACTGCAGGCAACCTTCAGTCCCTCATTAGACTGCAGGCAACTTTCAGTCCCTCATTAGACTGCAGGCAACCTTCAGTCCCTCATGAGACTGCAGGCAACCTTCAGTCCCTCATTAGACTGCAGGCAACCTTCAGTCCCTCATTAGACTGCAGGCAACCTTCAGTCCCACATTTGACTGCAGGCAACCTTCAGTCCCTCATTAGACTACAGGCAACCTTCAGTCCCTCATAAGACTGCACGCAACCTTAGTCTGCATGCAACCTTAGTCTGCAGGCAACCTTCAGTCCCTCATTAGACTGCAGGCAACCTTCAGTCCCTCATTAGACTGCAGGCAACCTTCAGTCCCTCATTAGACTGCAGGCAACCTTCAGTCCCTCATAAAACTGCACGCAACCTTCAACCTTAGTCTGCATGCAACCTTCAGTCCCTCATTAGACTGCAGGCAACCTTCAGTCCCTCATTAGTCTGCATGCAACCTTCAGTCCCTCATTAGACTGCAGGCAACCTTCAGTCCCTCATTAGACTGCAGGCAACCTTCAGTCCCTCATTAGACTGCAGGCAACCTTCAGTCCCTCATAAAACTGCACGCAACCTTCAACCTTAGTCTGCATGCAACCTTCAGTCCCTCATTAGACTGCAGGCAACCTTCAGTCCCTCATTAGTCTGCATGCAACCTTCAGTCCCTCATTAGACTGCAGGCAACCTTCAGTCCCTCATTAGACTGCAGGCAACCTTCAGTCCCTCATTAGACTGCAGGCAACCTTCAGTCCCTCATTAGACTGCAGGCAACCTTCAGTCCCTAGGGACCATGCAGTTGTGGCGCTGGTTTTGGAAACGTCTGCTTTGACTGTAAGGTCCTATGCAGGAGTGGCAGCCACTGTCTCATAGACTACAAAGAAATGTTGATACTCTGTTTTATTGAGACTGCTTTTTCTCTCAGATGTCTTCTGTCGATAGCTTGCTGTGTTAGTCCTCTTGCAAAGTGTGATTTATTAAACTTATTTTAAAACATTCAGAGGTATGAACCTAGCAGAAAATGAGAAAACAGCCAGCAGAAAATTTTTCAAAGTAGTTAAAAATATGAGAGCTACAACCCCTGAAATAATTAATGATTAGACAGGAAGGCCATTGATAGATCCACCCGAGATAGCAGAAAGATGGAATACTTCAATGAGCTCTTTAATCCTCTAGGAGATCATCAGGAAAGAACAACTGAAGAGCACAGAGCAACAGTGTTAGAACCACACATACTAATGGATGAAATAGAAAAAGTCATTAAACAGTCTCCCAAATATAAAGCACCAGGAGCTGATAGATTACCAACAGAAATAATTCAAGCAGCAGGTGAAAGCAGCATCAGATGGCTTCACAGAATATTCAATGCAGCATGGGTACAACAAACGGCCCCTATTGATTGGCAACATGCAATAGTTGTACCATTGTGGAAGAACAAAGGAAGCAAACGAGAATGCGGTCAATATCGAGTCATCTCTCTTTTAAGCCATGTTGGCAAAATGTATGCCAAGATAATAGAAACAAGACTGAGACCAGTGATAGAACCACAGCTGGCAGAAGAACAGAATGGATTTAGGAGAAATAGAAGCTGCACAGAGGCAATCTTCAGACTTAAAGAGTTAATAGAAAAGAACATTGAATACAATAAGAACTTATTTGTGGCATTCGTAGACCAGGAGAAGGCATTTGACAGAGTCGACAGACAATTACTATGGAAAATAATGGTAAGATATGGAGTAAGCGAACACCTCATCGGAGTGTGCAAAAGTTTATACAGGGATTGTAGAAGTGTAGTTAGAATAAATCAGGGAACATCTCACCCTTTCACAGTGACATCTGGAGAAAGACAGGGGTGTGTCTTATCACCACTGCTGTTTATCCCCTACATCGACAGTATATGCAAGAATGCCAAGCCCATGAATGAAGATCTTAGTAAGATCAACGAATTACTCTTTGCAGATGACCAGGCCTTGATAGCAGAAACAGCCATGAAATTGCAACAACATCTAACATCCATGAATGAAGAATGTAAAACAAATAATATGAGAATCAACACGGAAAAGACAGAAGTAATGTCAATAGGAAAAAAGAAGACAGATCTAAACATAGCAATAGAATACAAAGGCTTTAAACAGGCATCTGAGTTTAAATATCTGGGAACTACATTTACCGAAGATGGGAAATTGGATAAAGAAATTGACATTAGATGCAGTAAAGCAAACCAAGTATTGGGACAGCTAGCCCCCCCTCTTACAGCATAAGACAATCCCAATCAGCACAAAGAGACATCTTATTCAAAGCATATTTATTCCAACTCTGTGCTACCAGTGCCAGACATGGTCACTCACATCAAACCATAAAAGAAAATTAGTAACCACGAAAATAAGATGTCTGAGAAGGGCTGTAGGAGTGACCATAAGAGATAAGATCAGGAATGAGATCATAAGAGAACAAGTCGGCACAGAACCAATTCTGGATTACATACAAAGACAGCAAGTGAAATGGTTTGCCAACTTAGAGAGAATGCCTTGTGACACCATACCATACAAAGCATACATGGAAAGAGAAGAAGGACGTAGAGCACGGGGTAGACCAAGAACAAGATGGAAGGATAACATCAGAGAAACTCTACAACAGCACGATGGCCTATGGTCGAGGCAGCCAGAAGAGCTAGAAACAGAACCTTATATCTCCCTCGACACCCACAGCGGTAAAAGAGGAAGTGAAGAAGAAGAAGAAGAAGAAGAGGTATGAACAATGAAGAAATAAATAGTCTATTTTTCTTTTTGTTTAGCCGGGAACATAACTGTCTTGTGTAAACAGCGATACAAGTGGAAGATAACATCAAGAGATGGACCAATGGTAGTCTCAGTGGGTGTACCACCAAGTCAAGAGACATAGTATAGTGCAGATCCACACCAACCAACCCATGTTTGGGAACAGCACAGACTGATTTACAGTTGTTTTTTGTGGTTGTGTTTTAATGGTAATTTGATAAAAATTGAACTGTAGATGCTATAGGCATGTCTTTTGTGTCCCATTTCTGACACAGGAACATGTTATGTCTTCTACTTCTTCTTTTTAACATTTACCGGCTGTAAACTCTGGGGCGAAAAGTTCTGGCTGTTCGTCCACTTCTGGACTCTAGTCCTGTTCCAGGTTCCAGAACCTGATTATTGTGTGCATATCTGTTTTACAAATCTTACGCACATGTATGCAGTCTGTTGGTTCCTTGCTTCTCAGGTTTGATACACAGCAACTTCAAAGGAAGCTCCCAATGAGCTGAATCTTATGACATGCTTTTAGGTTTATTCTTGTTTTCACCACAATGGGGCCCCAGAATACACACGGAGAATTTCTTCTAATTGAAAGACAACCACTATTTATTATATGTGTAAAAAAAACTGTTTTGCAACAACAACAATAAAAACAAGTCAAAGCGTGAAGGATGAGGACTGGTACATCTTCACAGGCTGATTATCATAAACACAGAACACTCATAGATACAGAACAGCAGAGACAAATAAGTGCACACTGACCAGTCGAGTGTCCAATGGCTGGTTTCTGTGTCTGCTGTACAAAGTTTTTAACTCTTCGTATGCCATAAACTGAAGAGCACCATGGGAGATGCCGAAAATTCCTGGCAAGAAACCCTGTTTGACAATAAAAATGGTGGTGGGACATTTTGTTTAAGACAGTATCAAGTTACAGTCACCTAATATTTCCTGTCAGCAAGGAAAGTGGGAAGTGTCGTGTAAGATAAAGATTATTTTAATGAATACATGAATCAATCAACCAATCAATCAAGAATCGATATCACTGCACTTAGGACATCCCATATGTGCTCCATCCCCTTCCTCAGTAGTTAACAAAGAGTTCCAATTCTGTCAGTGCAAGCTGTAACCTCATTTAAAATTTACTTTTTTGTCCCCCATGGGGTACAAAATCATCCAGACGCTCTGCTCATTTTCACCCTCTACGTATCTCTCCGCTGGCCAAAGCAGATATTTTATATATTTAATGTATTTGGCATATATTTATATTGTCAGTAAGACACAGACTATCTCTCCGCTGGCCAAAGCAGATATTTTATATATTTAATGTATTTGGCATATATTTATATTGTCAGTAAGACACAGACTATCTCTTCGCTGGCCAAAGCAGATATTTTATATATTTAATGTATTTGGCATATATTTATATTGTCAGTAAGACACAGACTATCTCTTCGCTGGCCAAAGCAGATATTTTATATATTTAATGTATTTGGCATATATTTATATTGTCAGTAAGACACAGACTATCTCTTCGCTGGGCAAAGCAGAAATAATTTTATTTATTTTATTTATATGCCATATATTTCTATTGACAGTAAGACACACAGACATAGTGACAAAAACATTTATACAGAACTTTATTTTCAAAGGATAACAAATATAGCAAGCTAGTCTATTTAGCATTCATTTTTACCTCATACTTTTCGTTCATTGTTTAATTCATACATCTTTTAATAATGCTATAGACAGATGAGCGAGCAAGTGAGTAGTGAAATTTGTAGACAGAGTAAGACATAAATATAATTGAAATCCACATAAATGAAAGATAGGCAGAAACATACAATTAGACTTGAGTTACACATACCGAAACTGTTGGACATCATGAAGAAGGCAGAGATGGAAGAAAACAGACCAACATAAGGACATACAGCAGACAAACAGAGACAGGAGTATTTATAAATATAAAAGCAAACATTTAATCATTAGCACGCATAAATAGTTGCATATATACTCCTTTTCTAAGACTGTAACAATATTGCCCCCTTTTCATTTATTCAATTTTGCATCTCCTATGGAGACCTGACCTCCGACCCCCCCAAACAAGCATATATTAAAAGGTGATTGGCCAAGAGGTGCAGATATCGCCCTCTGACTGTAAATTAAAATACAACGTGCCATCAGTTCTTTTAAGAGCAAAAAAATAAGTAGGCATTATACGACTTCTATGTTATACATCCCTGAATCTGCAACTTACCCTATACAATCCTCGAATTCCTTCCTTCCGATAGACACCAATCAAAGTTTCCCACATCCCCACAAACTGTACATTGCCCGGATTTCCATAATGTAAGCACATTCGGGTCTTCGACACCCATATAGGGTTGGTTAAAGTCAAAGTTGCCAATCCTGTTATAAATAAAAGATATGAGTTCAATTACAACAAGCTGGTTAGGGTTTTTATTTTTTTTATTTTGAGATTTACAAATCTTTGGTACATGATATTTTGCTAATCTTTGGTACATGATATTTTGCTAATCTTTGGTACATGATATTTTGCTAATCTTTGGTACATGATATTTTGCTAATCTTTGGTACATGATATTTTGCTAATCTTTGGTACATGATATTTTGCTAATCTTTGGTACATGATATTTTGCTAATCTTTGGTACATGATATTTTGCTAATCTTTGGTACATGATATTTTGCTAAGCGTCTATTCTGGTATAGGAGCTGACACTCAGGTCTTCACTGATGCAACACATCTAGCCTAGTAGGGTTACTTCTGTAGGCCAGATTTCCATTCATACTGGCCAAATGAGGGCAGCAATTTGCTGGTGTCTGTTTAACATGGTAATGCCACCAAGCTGTGATCTACAATTTCATGTTTTTTCCTAGTCATCTTCAGCTTATTCTTGCAACGGTTTAAATTTTTCACCCTGCAAGCTCTAACAAACAAAAAATTTCTTTTACACAGGTCACTAATAAATTCGTTTAACATTTACTTATTCATATTTTAACATTATTTTTCTAAATGTATAAAGATATATGAAAGGAGTAATCACTAAACATTGAACTTTGCAAAGCAATCAATGTAATCCATTCATGGCCTAAAAAACACATGTATCGGGTGAACCATGCCATGACCCCATGACCTTTACCATTGAGAGAAAATTTGATATCATCTTGCCTTTTAGAAAATCCTTTAACACAAATGAAAACCCCTCTAAATGCTATTGTTAATTAATTTATTCATAACCCACTTCCTTCCTTAGTGAGTCTTCGCTGACTGGGACAAAATATGACTTCTTGGAGTGAAAAGGTTAAAGAGGTTCTTTGTAGTCCCTAGACGTTCACCTGTTGGTGTCAACTTCCTTCCTAAGTGAGTCTTCTTTAACTGGGACTAAATATGACTTGCAGGACAGACTCTGAGTGACCACTATGAATGCTAAAATCACACACACACACACACATGCACACACACATGCACACACACACTCACACAAACACACACACTCACTTACACACACACTCACTCACACACACACACACTCACACTCTCTCTCACACACACACACATTCACTCACACACACTCTCTCTCTCTCACACTCACATACATACATACATACATACATACATGGCATTATAGAGGGCATTACAAACAGATAACTACGGAATGGAAGATTCAGGATGCTTAAAGAACAGCTCAAATAATTACACACTTAATTATTATGATAATCTGTAGTAAGAAACAGATAAATGTTTTTTTCCCTGTCTCCATGTGGGTTCTGGAGTCCCACTGTGGGGGGAAACAAGAAAACACCCACTGTCTGCCCTAAAGCATGTCGTAAGAGTCGACTAATTGGGAGCTTCCTTCATAGTCGGAGTACATCTGCCTGAGAGGCAAGGAACTAACAGTCTGCATGCAAATGGGTCAGACCTGTGAAATGGATTACAGTGCAAAAGTGGACAAAGAATCGGAAGTTTCCACCGGAGTTTAAAGCCGGTGAACGTGAAGAAGAAGATTTCCACCGTACACATGAGTTTGAAAAATCAAAATGGGGGAGGCGGTAGCATACCTGCCAGACTGGCAATCATCATGTGTCTGCCAGGTCCAAGGTTCTTTGTTGTGTCTCCTCCTTGCATCCATGTTTTTGTTGTGTTGTAACTGGGAAAACAATGTTGGGAAATAATGAATCTTTGGCTGATGCATATTTCTACAACTTTCTTTGGTATTTTAAAAATTATTTTCAGCTCATTTTTACAGAATGCAAAAATTACGTACGGAAACAAATGTTCATATTCCATTTTTTTTAGGAAAGCCTCTACATCAGCCTCACACACATATACATTAAAGCCTCTATATCAGCCTCACACACATATACATTAAAGCCTCTACATCAGTCTCACACACATACATTAAAGCCTCTACATCAGTCACACACATACATTAAAGCCTCTATATCAGCCTCACACACATACATTAAAGCCTCTACATCAGTCACACACATACATTAAAGCCTCTACATCAGTCTCACACACATACATTAAAGCCTCTATATCAGCCTCACACACATACATTAAAGCCTCTACATCAGCCTCACACACATATACATTAAAGTCTCTACATCAGCCTCACACACATATACATTAAAGCCTCTACATCAACCTCACACACATACATTAAAGCTTCTACATCAACCTCACACATATACATTAAAGCCTCTACATCAACCTCACACATATACATTAAAGCCTCTACATCAGCCTCACACATATACATTAAAGCCTCTATATCAGCCTCACACACATACATTAAAGCCTCTACATCAGTCTCACACACATATACATTAAAGCTTCTACATCAGTCTCTCACACACATACATTAAAGCCTTTATATCAGCCTCACACACATACATTAAAGCATCTACATCAGCCCCACTCACATACATTAAAGCCTCTACATCAGCCTCACACACATACATTAAAGTCTCTAATCAGCCTCACACACATACATTAAAGCCTCTACATCAGCCTCACACACATATACATTAAAGCCTCTACATCAGCCTCACACACATACATTAAAGCATCTATATCAGCCTCACACACATATACATTATAATCAGTAGTGCACAAGCATTTCTAACTAACCAAACAACTCTAAACAAGCAGATTCAAAACTGCATCTGCACAATGCAAGCTTAGAAACCAGCCATGTAGTTATTGCATAGGGAAAAGTAATATCACCCTCCATGGGTGAAATAAAAGTCAAAAACGTTTTTTTTTTAAGTGTTTAAAACAATTAATGCTAATACTTGCAACAACTACTTACAAGAAGAAATAGAAGCCCCAAGAAAGTCCTGCCCCAGTGACATTTGGAGTCACTCCCCGGTACAATCCCTTCCAACCATCAGTTTGCACTATTGCACGAAACGCATGTATAACACCGTTGTAGTGGGGGCGGGCAATCACCTTCTTGCCAGGTCCTTCATCAACTAAAATACAAAAAAATAAGTTATATTTTGTAATAAACAAGTTAATTATCTCACTGGGCCCTCTTGTACCTTGTGGTGTTGAGTTAACATACAACCAGTGTCACAGGCACAAAGGTATTAATATTCACTGTGCTAACAATGTTAGACTTGGATAAATACAAAAAGGGACAAGTAATACCTATGTTCTTCTTCTTCAGCATTCCGAGCCTTTGAGGTTCATTGCTGCAGATATCACTCGCCTGCACTCATCTCTCTGTTGTATGTCGTGCCTGAGTGAACATGTTGTGACTGTTTTGTTTTTTTGTCTGTGTATGTGTGCTACATCTGTGCATATGTGGTCTGTCTGTGACAGTGTGTAGGCCTGTGTATGTTTTATCGGTGTGTGTCTGTGAAAGAACGTATGCCTGTGTATGTTTTACCAGTGTGTATTTTGTGCCGGTGTGTACATGTTGTGACTGTGTGTGTTTGTCTGTGTATGTGTGCTTGGTCTGTCTGTGTGTATGTGTTCTGTCTGTGAGAGTACATATGCCTGTGTATGTTGCATCAGTTAGTATGTTGTGTCTTGTGAACGTGTGACTGTTCTTTATTGTTGTTTGTCTGTATGTTTGGGTCTGTGTGTGTTGTGTCTGTGTGTATGTATTGTGTCTATGCCTGATTATGTTGTGTATGTGTTCTCAATGTGTGCACCTCTGTGTGTGTAAGGGTGTTGTACATGTGTGTGTGCCCGTGAGTGCCTGCGATGTATTTTTACACATATATTCGAAGGTATGCATTTGTCCTCCATGCCTTTGTATTTTTTAATTTACATTTATCCAATGAATTTTGATATATCACCATAACAGCTTGATACATAAAATGCAACTGCCGTAAGAAAGATAAATGCTAGGAGGGGTTAAATGTGAGATAGGCCTGAGTGCCCAATTTGTAACCCTTTGGAAATTAAGTTTGTTCATTCATCTCTGACTGGCTTTCTCTTTCCAACTGGTGACTCAAAATGTTTGGAGGTCTTCTTTTTCCATGGAGCATAGGCCCTCAACCAACCCATGTTCTGTCCATTGTTTAAAGTTACTTTACTCTCTAGCTGCCTTCTCCATGTCGTTTTGGTCTGCATTTATGTCTATGTCCTTGTGGTCTGCATTTATGTCTATGTCCTTGTGGTCTGCATTTATGTCTATGTCCTTGTGGTCTGCATTTATGTCTATGTCCTTGTGGTCTGCATTTATGTCCATGTCCTTGTGGTCTGCATTTATGTCCATGTCCTTGTGGTCTGCATTTATGTCTATGTCTCTGTAGGTTCTAGTGCAAAGACATTCTCTCATAAGGAGAATATTTATGAAACTGGCTGATTTTCTAACATTAGGAATATTATGTATATGTGGGGGTGACAGAAACTATATTGTTCGAATGAGTTTTCTGTGTTTTATTTTTAGACTGACATAACTGAGCTTCTGTGTGACAGTACTTGGTAGTACTGTCTCTGTTATCAGAGAACGCTGGACAGCGTAACCAGACCTGTCATTCCATACTGTGCCATCAACTTTCCACGGAGAAGCACACAGGGGAGGAAACTAACCTTACTTATTCTAGGACGAGGAAATGGAATCTGAAAACAGTTATGGCAGTACATACTTGACCCACAGCCTCGGTTGACACTAGTTCTATGAGGGAAGCTTTGATAGACAGACAGGCAGGACATTGCTCTTCTAATCCGACAGCTTCTGCAGACACTTTTCTTTTTGAGTAATCAAGGCAGGCCGAGGAGGGATCATGCTACATGGTCAACAGCCGGCTTCTCTCAAATAATGGCTTGGTTTTGTATTCTGGAGATGATATATTCCATCCCTGGTCTTAAATTTGACTGAGGCCACTATTCCGGCCAGGACCTTCCCAGTGCTTCCTCGGGGAAGGGAAGAAGAGCGGGGGGGGGTTTAAACACTGATCTAGAGAGTGAAATGAGTGAGACGATGTTTTGAAAAGTTCTTCTTGCTCAAGTTACTGTAAGCATGCTGACTGTTTGCTTTGAATCTGTCTTTCTTTTCATATTCTACAAAAAGGACAAAATGAAAACTAATAAATTCTTTACGTTAAAAAAAAAAATCTTACAAGAGTATTATTATTTACAGGTTTCATGCCAGATTTCAACAATTTACACAGGACAGTTATGGAGTTACAGATTTTTAAAGCTGGCATGACTTAGTGGAACAGACTGTAAGAAGGCAGTGGGTCTATCCGCCATAAACACACACAATGGGAACCAATTTTTAAAGGGTTAGGAAATTATAGGGAAGAGAAAAAGTTGGTAAGAAAAAACAAACAGTTTATGTTAGCTTTACAAAATCGATCACAATAAACAAACAAAGGACGTTGCAGCGATTAACCTTCATCAGCACATAAAGAACAACTCAGTACACATACACAAATATGCTCTAACTATGAAGTGACTACATGGGACTAATGTACACAATAAATAATACTCATCTGTGTTCCTGGCGAAAAACTTTCCTCAAGAGGATGTCAAGGAAAGGTCCTGGCCTATTTATCACCAACGCAAGGACGGGGAGCAAAAAACGGGTTCACTATAACTAGGAAATAGACGGAGTAGACGCCCACACTGAGTGTCTAAAGAGGGAGGGAGGGGTTGGCCAATAAGGCGTAATCCGGGTTGGGTCGTGGGGATGACATTGGTCGATCCCATGGAATTAAAGTGGTGCCTGTGCTAACGAACAAGTACCAACAGACATGCAGGCAGGCTGGCAGACAAGCATGCTGATAGATATACAGATAGATAGATAGATGGATAGATAGATATATAGACAGACAGACAGATAGATAGATGGATAGATAGATATATAGACAGACAGACAGACAGATCGTTGATGGTGGGGTGAATGGGTGAGTGTGGTGGGATAGATGGGCGGGTAGACAAATAGATGGAATGATGGATGGCTATACCCGTGGATGGATGGAAAGTATAATGGATGGATGGGTCAGCCTATATGTGTGCCAGTACATGAAATCAGGTAAAAACAAGGGTCTCAAGACACGATGCTTCTCTCTTACTGTCAGCTATGAAATAGAGACAGTGAGGGTGATTGTTATACAAAGTATCAGTCAAACCGAGCACAGAACTAGTAAAAACCAGAATGGGCTCCCCTCGGAACTTCTACCCCCGCAGTATTGTGGCCTGAAATATCCGTTCGGGGCGCAGTACAATTAAAAATACGGACTTGGAGTTCCCGCTGAGGAACAAATTGTGGCAAAACTAGGAGTACCTTACAATGTCACGAGGCGCAACATTGCAGACAATAGTAGCAGACGATAAAAGCGACCGGTGACAATGTCGAGCGTTTTCTGCAGACGATAAAAGCGACCGTTGAAAATTTCGAGACATTACATACGATGAAAGCGATATGGTGGGTAGACCACGCGCTCCCACGCAGAATAGCAATACTGTTCTTCCGATTGAGGATTTAGCAGCGGTAGATGTCAGACTTTTCGGCATGCGCAAAACGCGATTAAACTCACGGCTGAGTGTATCCACAACGCCGCTACGCGCATCGCGGATGGGGGGCTAAACTAGGTGCCTGGGACTCACGAGCAAAGTAACTGGAGGAAGTTGCAGGAGATGCGGTAGCTGCCGCTCGTGAGTCCCAGCCATCTAGTTTCGCCCCTATCCGCGCCGCGCGTAGCGGCGCGGAGGATACGGTCGGCGGTGAGGCATAGTTACAGAATCAGGTCCGCAAGTAACATATCGCTGAGACCCTGTTGGAGCATTTGTCGTTTTTCCGAGCTGATCCTAGATTTGCCGCAATTTGTTCATCAGCAGAAAGTTCGACAATGGAAAGTGTCAACGGTCGCTATTATTATCGTCTGCTACTATCATCTGCAGTGTTGCGTCTCTTAGAATTGTCAGGTAATCAGAAACAAAAAGAAACAGGGCCGCAAGTAACATATCGCTGAGACCCTGTTAGAGCATTTGTTTCGTTATAAGGAGCCGGCATATTTTTAATTGGACTGCGCCCCGAACGGATATTTCAGGCCGCAATACTGCGGGGGTAGAAGTTCGGAGGAGAGCTCCAGAATGTAAGGGAGCAATAGAAAAATTGTTTGGGTAGATGGTGGGGTGAGTTAGAGGGTAGTGAGTTAGAGGGTAGTGAGATAAACGGGTGGGTAGATGAATGGATGGGTAAAGGATGGTTATGTTAGTGGATGAATGAAACTGTTAATAAATAAAATCGGGTAAACACAAGGGTCTCGTGATAAAATGCTTCTCTCTTAAATAAGTATTAACTATTGAATGGAACGATCACTCAGCCATTTCACAGGCATGCAAACGTGAAAATAAAAAGCTGGTCAGCGACACCAGAACTAAACAGCTTAATGCAAGTGCACACATGAAATTGTTGTCCATGTTGTTAAAGACAAACCTTGGAACCTGACTTTGATCAGATCAAGTGGGTGCAGCGCCAGGGAAGACACCACCCCGCCTGTCACTCCCGCTGCCAAATGTTCAAATCGAACATGAGTTACAAAACTGCGACTAGTTTTTTCGGCCACTGGTTGTTTTCTGGACTCCATGGGTAACATAAACAACCAGATACGATTATTTATAAAGAATAATGGCTGATAAACTAAGAATCTAGATGAAAGTGTGGACACATTGCCAGCATGTGCTGTTTAATTTCATCGTCTGCCGTTTGATCCTTGCGGAAAAACAACATCCGTGACCTTACCTTTGACTCACAAGTTCAAAGGTCAATAAATTGCATCATTTGTTTCTTGCTTGACAAATTTCGCATTTAAAATATAAGATCGACATGCAAACATTATTATTATAAGCTCCAACTATAAAATATCAAATACCTGGGGATCTGGCCGATACCCGACGGTCAGAGGACAGGCAAGGTGGACATACAATCAGACTGCTACTGGCAACATTGCTGTTGGAACTCTCCTGGCTGCTTAATATAGGGACAGAGTGCATATGGGAATGCTCTGAGTGCTGCGATGTCAGTTCTTAAATCAACTCAACATATGGGTAATGTTTTATTCAGCACGTGAGACACCTTTAACATTTTTTCGTCTGGACACTTGTCATGACAGCATAGAACAAGCACATCAGACATGGCTTTCTCTATTTGGTCCCGCCACTCTGGTCAGTCTGGGGCTAATGGTAACGGACATCTTAACCTTTCCGTTATGGAATATGACATGTATCTGACGGACAAATGAGCCTAGTCAGTTGACTCACTGGTAGATTGCTGTGATGTGCCATTGGCGACGTCGCTAAGGCTTAAGAAAAGATGTGCGGAGACAAGACTGTACTATGAGATACCGCCCGTAGAAGATGTTGCTTGTCTAAGCTGCAATCTCTTGGTCTAGGGCTGAGTCTCAGCAGTTCAATAGTTATCTGACTCAACATACATTTTAACCAAGGGTTGCCATTTGGTAATATATTCGCCTGGCGGGCTTTACTCATTTTCCTAATCAGGTTTGATAGACGTTTTTACCCATGCATTTAGAGCCAGAGGATTTCTGGGTACTGCATCTCTGAGACCCATTAACTTCGAGATTGGTTTATACTCATTTGAGCCATCGTCCGTGGCACACAATGGGGACGTGTGGCAGGAGTCTTACATGGGGATCCATAAAACTAGCACAGAGCCAGCTGGCTCGCGAGGTGAGGTATTGAGTAACTCCTTATAAACACATCATAACGACCTTAACTCTTTGAGTCCCAAGAAACGTATCATACGCTCATAGGTTCCTAACTAGAAGCCCAATGAACGCGTGATGCGCCGATTTATTACTTTCTTTACTATCCCCTGAGCCTGTGATGCTAAACCCCCTGGGACTCAAAGAGTTAACTTTCCCTCACGCCTGTGGTCGAAATCACCTTGCCACTTCCCCTGGCTCAAAGTTCATTACATTTCTAGTGCTTGGCTCTCCGTGGTAGCTGGTACCAGCAGACTCTCGTCAGATGGTCAGGCCATCTCATGTATTATTCTTCAAGAAACTGTAGGACTGTTGTCATGTCTAGCCTTCTTGTAATGCCTTCCTTGTTAATTCATATTCTCTTTTACTCCGGCAGCTCTTGCATTTGATTGTATGCAGCACCATAAACTATGGAATATAATGAGAGGCATAGGATTTCCACATCATCTTGTGCACTTAATGGAATCTCTTTACCACGAACAACAAGCAGCGGTAAGAGTAGCTGGTGAAACATCAGAATGGTTTGAAGTACAGACAAGTGTGCGACAGGGCTGCACTGTCTCCCTCCCTCTTTAACATATATGATGAAAATGTTACGAGGAACGCAATTAGCGATGAGGCATGTGAGAGCTTCTTCCCACTAATAATTGGAGGTAATCTTATCCCAGAACTCAGATATGCAGACGACACTGTTCTTTTTTCCAACAATGTAAAAAGTTTAGAAAAATTAAACCTGGCGTCAAAAAACATGGCGAGAAAGTGAATCTGTTTTTTTTTTTTTTTTTATTTAAAAAAAACACAATTATGTTCTCAGTAAATACAGCACACCAACCAATCAGAAAATGTAACAGATTTCGAATACTTGGGCTCTTTAATGCCATGGATCAGGAAGAGGAGAAACATTGACATTCTGAACATCAAAGAGAACTGACTCATAAACAGCATCCTGTCCCGAAAGTTGAAGTTTGTTGGCCACATCAAGCGTCATGGTGGCTTGGTAAAGACGGTGATGGAAGGTGCAGTTTGTGGAAGGCAGGACAGGGATCGACTAACGCGAAGATGGAGACAAGACATTGAAGATGCATTGATATTGAAAGCACATGGGGCCGGATAGCTGGCTAGGGAAAGGGATACTTTCAGGCGTGCTGTGAAGAGAGCGATGTTCTGTAAAGGACTTGCTGATTGATGATGATGTTTTTTGAACCAGAAGCACTTGAGCATAGCTTATTTTGCTCAGTGTCGTGAGCATAGACACCGTTCAGCCTCGTCTCTAGGAGGAGGAGTATGCGGATATTCTGTCACCCTCCGGCTTGAACCCCAGACCGGACACGCATGGGGATTGTCACCTGACATTCAACGCGCTATCAACTAGGCTGGAGCGCCGAGCAAAGACATGTAGGTCTGTGGACGAGTGGGTCGCACTGATGTACTAGAATGTTTAGAGAAGCAGCAAATACGGCATGTATCGTGTTTCCTCGAGGGAAAAGGACAAAGTCCCTTATCAATTTGAGACATGCTACGGTTTATTTTCATGGGACGTCCCCCCCCCCCCCCCCCCCAAATAAATAAACATAAGTACACATTTTTTTCAAGTCACATTCAGTCACTTCATTCTTTACTAACTAGAACATCTTCATTATTTTTATTTAATTATTTATCATTTACACAGACGTTTCAGTGTCAAGAGGCAAAAGACGTGCTTGGGGCTTCATAGCAAAAGTTAATGGTCGACGTTTGGTGCAGGAGAGCCTAGCATATGATACCACAACATCCAGCTTAAGAATGAAGTTGGAGGCGGTCACTGCAGCTTTCCGCTGGCTAGAGAACACGACACACACACATATCGTGATTGTAACTGATTCAGAAAGCATGCTGAAGAAGATCAGAACAGGTATGCTTCGTGCAGAGTGGCATGCTTCGCTGCGGAGGATACGAGTGAGCAGTATTGTCTGGATTTTTTCACCGGGCAGCCGATGTGTTAGGAAATGAACAGGCGGACAGACTGGCTGGCTCTGCAGAACTTGGTGGAATACTGATACATGATAAGGCAGACGTGGTTAGTGCCTTGTGGGAGAGAGTGTACAATTCGGATGAGCATATGGATCACCAGTCTGGTGAGATTGATGAAGTTAGGGGTGACGAGAGGTTCTGGCAGAAGCTCAAGGCTCAGAGGAAAGGCAAGACGGACGTTTAATCAGAATGCTACTGGCACCATTAGTATCGGAACTCTTCGCTGGCTGCTGAAGGTGAGGACGGAGCGCTAATGGGAGTGCTCCAAGTGCTGTGATGTCGGTTCTTGAATCAATCAATCAATCATCAATCAATCAATCAATCAATCTTCATTATTTTAGAACGAGCGCCGTAGACCTACATTGGACGCACGAAATCCGTCAGTGTAAGGCTTATAATAAGATATACAAGCACGAGTTACCTGAACAATCAAGTTAGGCCTTATTTTTCGGTTAGATCCTTTTTATTTCGGGTAAACGCGGTAGGTATGAATAAAATAATCTTGGAGGGAGGCTTTCTCCGGCTATTTTTAATAGTTATACAGTGCAGAGCTGATAATGAAAACACACCGGGGACCAAGAAACTGTTCTTCTTATCACAATCCTTTTATCCTGATAAGAGTTCAAGCAAGAGACTTTAGAACAGAAATTCGCCTCACCCGAGATCGCAGTCTGCACTGTATATTGTTTCGTTTATTGTACAAGTCATTTTTTTTATAGACACAAATTGGCTCTCCTATTCAAAACATTGAATCTGTACGGAAGATGGCGGACTTGTTCGGTGAGTCACGAATAATGATGCATTTTTGTGGGTTCTTGGACAAGTCTAATAGTCACTTTTGACCTGTACTAACTAATTACTTTTTTTCATTCATTCATTCAGTAGCATGTCCCTCGCGTAACCTCGCTGCCATAACAACCCTCCGGAAAACCTTCCTATCCTGAGCAAGATGTCCTGCGTCTGATACACTTGACTACACTACACCCATCTGGAGATCATCTGCCACATCCTGCACCCATCTTCTCCTTGGCCTTCCTCTTCCTCTCTTCCCAGGCATATACCCCTCCATTATTGTTCTCTCTAGACTTCCATGACGTTTCAAGTGACCAAAATACTTCAATTTTCTTTGTTTTATTGTCTTTACTAGCCAACCCTCTTCAATGTTCAGCTCTTGAAGTATGGATGCATTTGTTCTTTTCTTTACCCAAGATATTCTTAGAACCTGTCTGTAACATTTATATTCAAATGCATTTATGCGCTGTTCCGCTTGTTTAGTAAGTGTCCAGGTCTCACAGGCGTATGTTGCAATGGGAAAGATGCATGCTCTTAAAAATCTGACCTTTGTAATTCTATCTGTACAATTCCATAATTTATTTTTTACAATTTTTTATTTTTACTGTGGCAGAATCTTGCTTATTATTAATTTCAGTCTACATTCCCACTACTCTGACACGCCCATGACAGGCCGTGTGACTGTGAGTGTAAGAGTAAGACTTAAGAGAGTAAGAGTAGAGTAGTACTAGTAGTTAGTAGTATTAATCAAGTAACAGAAAGTATTGTGAACGGCACTCAGAGAAAGAAGTAGAAAGATAGAAGAACACACTAGACAACATAAAAATCGAAAGCTATAGTTACCGTGCCGGGAATTGAACCTGTCCGCGCCTCTCCATGAATATATAAGTCAAGTGCACTAAGATACATGGTCAACTAGGCACCCCCAAAAAAAGGTGTCTTATTGGCCATGTCTGTCGTACAGCTTGAAATCCACGACTATGGAATACGGACAGAATTCATTTCAAACCATTGAAACGGCACCATAGGTTACAGAAATTTATATTAACAAAGTTTATTTATAGTAGTAG